GGATTTTCAACACCAACGTCAAGTCAGTGCTTCCATATGGTTCAGAGACTTGGCGCGTCACGAAAGGCATTTCCAATAAACTACAGACATTCATCAACAACTGCTTACGCTCGCTACTGAAGATCAGATGACCAGAACAATAGGAATAAGCAACAAGGTGCTCTGGTAACGAACCAACCAATAACCTATCACCCAACAAATATGCAGGAGGAAGTGGAGATGGATTGGGCATGCACTGAGAAGGCCGACTGAGGACATCACGCGTCAGGCCAGTTGCTCGAATGGAATCCCCATGGGAAGCGACGAGTTGGGCGTCGAGGCGAGGGTGACATGGAGGAGGTCGTGCGAGGAGGAAATGAGAGGTTGTGGGCTGTCGTGGAACCAGGTCCAAAAGATCTCAGAGAACAGAGGTCACTGGAGATGTGCTACTGAAGCCCTATGTTCCACTAGGAACCCAAGGGACTAATAATAAGAATAAAAAGACGTTCCACAATCCCCTATCTAGTAGGCACATAAATGAGCAATAAGCGATGTACATTGGGCTCTACGCATGTAAACGAATATATATATATATATATATATATATATATATATATATATATATATATATATATGGTCAGTGTGCTAGTTACTAGTTAGGAGAGATCACTTCACAGAATTTCCTTTGCGCACTGCATGCTTTACGCCCAGCGGTGATGACAATGAGACACGCATGCAAAGCTAATTTCCCTTTATGTAACGATTAACTCAAATGATACCATTAATACTGGTAATTAACGCTATCATCACAATTTCAACTTAAATAGGAAAGTGAAAAACTTGGGCACTGTGGTAGAATGTAATTCCATATTAGATTTGTTTATTTGATATAAAGCGCACAGTTATACAGTATTATTTAATTGATTACGTTTCGAGCACAAATTATTGTTCATAATCATATCAATGTAATCACACTTCTTTCGATATCTGATTTTATAGTCCTGTCACCTGATCTCTCTTTGTTTTTTGATTGGTAGTAAAGTTTTCCATATCTCTGGTATAGGTGTTGCGTCATTCCTATTACATGTGTTGGGTGTGGATTCGATGAACAAAGATTCAGTAATTAATCTCTCTCTCCACCTAGCTATATTAGACTTAAGTACAGTGGTTTTGTCCCATCCTATTGTGTGGTTGTGTCTTAATGAATGTAATGCAATGGCTGAGTGTTTTTCTAGGTTATTGATCTTATTGGGGTCTGCCGTTCTATGTTTAGCTAAATTCCTATGTTCTGTTAATCTAACTGACCCCGACCGGCTAGTTTGACCTATGTATTTGACCTCACAATCATTACATGGAATTTGGTAGATTATATTATTTTGCTTAATTGGTTCTATCGGATCTTTTAGCCGACAAAGCTTACCTCTAAGTGAGTTTGTTGGTTTAAATGCCACCCTAATTCCAACCTTGTTGAGAATCCTACGTATGGTTTCTGATGTTCCTTCCTTGTATGGTATCACAATGGAGGTGTTGATTTCCTTTCTACTTATGTTGTCACTATTATTTGTATTTGTATTAGTGTTATTATTTTGCTTCTTATGTGTCCGTGTGAATTTCTTAATAAAATGATGGGGATAATTATTAATTATTAACGCTTCTTTTATGTGTTTCAATTCAGTTAATAATTATCCCCATCATTTTATTAAGAAATTCACACGGACACATAAGAAGCAAAATAATAACACTAATACAAATACAAATAATAGTGACAACTAATGGAGGACAACTGCGAATATATGGGTAAACGATGATCTTTGTATATTATCAGTCAGCAGATGTTAAAAAGTGAACCCTTGTGTTGCAGTTCACCCTGTGAATAGCAACACACCACGAAATCTGACAGTCGTTGGCTAGATCCTTCATAAGATTATCACTGTGCATTACTGAAAAGTCCTAAAGTAAAACTAAATGCTGGTCTAGTACTCCCACGTTTCTAGCAGTTCTCCAACTGACATACAATGATGACCAGTTCACCCTGAGTAGCCCAAAAAGATGAACAAATACCTTTTGAATAAGTTACTTTTAACACGGAGATTTATGGGGATTTACTTACTGATTTCAGGTTGGTATTCGTCAGAGGCCAGCATCAGCTGGCGAACTATTGGAAACCTAGGAACTCTGGACAGCCACCTCATCTTACTGTAGGACTCCTCAGCAGTCTGCACCCGTGACCTCATCAGGGATCGAACCCGATGACTTCAAGTCCCGTGGCCAACACGTAATCACTGGGCTACCAAATCGGAGTCCAAAGTTAATTTTCAGCGATGGTAGAAAAAAAAAAAGATTTTTTCAAAAATTAACTTATAATTATCTTAAAATAGTATCAAGGTATTTAATGTGTAGGTATGCAAGGTTTGAACCTTTTCTTTAGCTATATAAGTGAAAATTATGATAAATAAGCAAACATAATATATTCTTTCACACTTTCCGACTGACTAAAAGATCACGTATACCAATTTCCAATGGTTATAAAGTGGATTATTGAAGTATGAATATTTTCGTTAGAATTTTGTAGCGATTCACCTGAGGGATGAACCGTCTTTAATAAATGCTGCATAATTCAACCGACTGAAATAAATGGAACTGACCATCTTTTGACAGTTTCATTACCGTCCAAACTTGGATTTCATAAGCAGTACTATCAACATCTATCTTATTATTGTCTTTAATATAATTTCATAGGGAACTTGGCATATTCTTAGTGATTGTCTAAGTGACCGATTATCACTAAAATGTACAGTCACAGAGTGGTTGATTCAAAAACTGCTCTTTCCTTAACCAACCAACTTCTTACTACTCAGATTAATGAAATTCATCTCAGTAAACAGTCACAAAATACTTTTCAACATCAACTATTCGTGAAACTACATTAAAGATGATGTCTACATTGACTTCAAATATTTAAAGTGAACCATATATTACTTCATAATGATAATTTACAATTCCTAGATGTTTGTATATGATGTTTAAATTATTCAGAAAAGTTTTAAAAGCTTGTAGAAAAACATCTTATTACAAAATCTATTCATATAAAGCGGAATCAAAGTGTTGTCTCAGCAGAAATGAGGTTATCATACAGTTTGAGTTGGTCTTAACTCACCATCGTAAACCAATGCAAATAACATATATACCATGAGAACTCCAATCATATGTGTACGTGCAAATTTTAACTTATAATCCGACTGCTTATCATAATTAACGCACTCCATTTATTCATTATCTTTTTCAAGCACTTAGCAAGATAGAATCATCTAAGTTGTAGAACCTCGACCAAATTATTTTAAACTAGGATATTGCAAAATTTCGACATAATAATACTTTGATGAAGATATTGACGTTAAACAGCGAAGCGTCTGCAAAAGCAATTTTGTTTTATTTTACAGTCATTACGTAAAGCAAATACCGAAGTAATGAACTTTTAGCTATATTTATATGACTACATATGTATCATGCCTACTGGTAAATGTGTGAATAAATGTTTCTACAGAATGGTCGGCTGAACGAAACTATTAGTCGGTTATTGTCGTTACATGAATGACACCCTTATAGTTCTCAAAGTTGAGATTGATGAGAATGTTGTCTTCAGTAAGTTCAATAGTGTTCATCCGACAATCGGCTTCACAATAGAACAGGAGAACAACGATGTTGGTAAGAAGGAACTCTGGAACGAAGTGCAAATAGAAATCCAGCATCGACAGGTCAGCATATGCACTTCTTCAGTGGCGTACCTCACCAATACAAAAGGAACCTGACAAAATGCCTACCACACCTTACCACAGCTATTTGCTCAGTTGATGCTATGAAGGAAGAGTTCGCCACCATCCATGACCTCCTGAGTACGAATGGCTATATAGCGAAGTTCGTGACTAGGCTCATCAATATTACGAAGGTTAAGTCAAATACACCAACAGTTCCGAAATAGTAAATCCTCTTGAAGCTGAAATTCAAGAGTGACATTGCCAGTGACATCATCACACAACGCATACAAACAGCCTTGCAAAGAGCATTCATTCCCAGCAGCTAAATTATGTCCCAACTTCTACAACCACGTGATTCTAGGTGCAAGAAGTAATGAAATACATCTGTCTGACTCTACCTACCAATTCCATGTACATTTAGCAGTTCAACAGCTTCTGTGGAGCTAGCTCCATCGGGTGTACAATGAGGCAGGTCCATCGTCGAATTTATGAGCACCACTCATCACGGTTGAGCAGAGGACAAATCAGAATAATAAAGAGCTCCATACTTGCACACCTAGTTGACACTGGACATCAAGTGGATACTAGAAAACCTTTGGGAATTATTCATCACATACCAGTATGTTGCCACATGAACTAAACATTCGCTTGCTTCACAGAGCAGAGCAGAGGCGATTGCAACCCACCTTTACAAACCTAACCTTTGTATTCAAAAGAAGTTTGTTGGATCACTTTCATTGTTGTGGCCGTCAACATGGTGTAACTTCTAATACTACTCTGCACACCTCTTCACCCTCTAGTTTCTATCATTATTCATTTGTTTTCTTACAGTTATGTAATCACTTATTGTTTATGACTGAACACTCATCAAATGTCACTCCATTCGCGTAAGAATAAGCTACTTCATATTTCCATTTTCAATTACTCTACTGATTATTTACATCTTAATTTCTAAAACATTATCTTCATGATCTATAATTATTGTTTGTCAACCGTCGACCACCACTTGGTTGAATTGTGAATGTGTATATTAGTGTATAGCCCAAGAAGAAGACCTAATTGAAAAGGAATATGATTTCTTCGTTCGATCAGTCTTCTTTCTAAATGTCTAAAGGGGAATATTCAACGTACTGAAATATTCCTAAGAAAATTTTAACTGTTAGCGTGATCATGGGCAGTAATTTTGCTCAAAATATTACCATTGTGTGTAAACTTTGCATTAAAAAAATTACTTACTATACATTTACTGTATTTCTATAATTTTAGGTGAAGGCTTTCGACGTAAAATAGTAGACGACAACATTCTGACAACTATGTCTCGAGCGAATATCCATCTATACGACATGGGTAAGTAGTAGTGGTTGTACGTGCGCAAGATCAATTCCATTTGATATAATAGTAACGTCATTCTGGTTTTGTTGGTAAACATTTTCGACTTTGAGAATAGTTAGAATGCAATTAAAAATGAAACATTCCCAAGAGTCTTTAATAAACCTTCAAAAATAGTCTGACTTTTCTGAAGAAATAAAACTTCTAAGAAAACAAAAGTATTTTAGAAATTTAGGCGTAAATCGAAAGGCAACTTATCTTACAGCATAGTAATTCAAAACTTTCGACTTGAACCTAAAGAAATAGAAAATGAGATCACTAACCAATCAGAGATTGAATGATAATGATTTCATGAGTAAAAAATACAAGGCACCAAAACGGCTTTAGAAGATGAAAACAACAAGAGTTCCGTCAGTATATATGCAAGGAAAATAGATGATGACTGTTAGACCACAGTATATATGTTACCAAGAAAAGCCAATCACATGAAGAAGTTAAATCCAAAAAAAACTCGAAACCAATCCATCTTAAATCCTGGTAGTGAGATAAAATCATCAAAGACAATTAGATAAGAAGATAAAATTTAATTGATTCCTGATTTTACGGTTCTGTGAGGGACTGAATATAAGTCAACCAAGTGTAAGGATGTATCATTGAGAGCAATGTTTGCGAATGTAGTCCCCTGAAATATCTTACCAGCAGACCAATAGACCTAAGTAACAACTCACGGAGAGATACTGACAGCTCACTTCATACTGAAGTTAGTTCTGATGATGTCGTCTAGAAAGACGACGAAAACTTCAGATCCAATGAAACGACTCTGGTTTTAATATAAGTGTAAGACTTGAACACTGTAATAGAATATAATCCCGTATTCGAATTGTTTATCTGATATATAGCGCATAGTGACACAGTATTATTTACCTGATGACGCTTCGAACATAAGTTATTACTCATAATGAACATATGAACTATCAAAATACTCAACATCGATATTCCGTCGTATTAGAAACCGTTTAAATCCTATACTAGTCAGTTCCTATGAGTTGAAGCTAAGACTTAATTGTATACATATAGAAGAGGTTGAAAAAATGGTTAGTTTCCAAGTAAAAAGTCTTTATGCCGAAATACCAGTGGATATGGCACTGAAGGCAGTCAGAAAGCAACTAAATAACAACTCAGGACTTGTTCGTAGAACTAAGCTAATGATTAATAAAATCATATTACGCGTACAGTTTCGCCTGATCTCTACAGTCTAGTCTATCAAGTCCCATGTAATGACTGTGAGTGAGGCCAAGTATATGGGTGAAACTAGCCGACCGGGGTCAGAATAGCCAAATATAGGAAATTAGGCAAATAAAGAACAACAGACCCGAATAAGGTCAATAATCTGGAAAAACACTCGGCTATTGCAGTGCAGGTATTAACACACAACCACATAATAGGGTGGGATAAAACCACTGTACTTAAGTCCAGTATAATTAGGTAGAGGGAGAGAGAAATTCATCACTGAATCTTTACTCACCAAATCAACACGCAACACATGTAATAGGAACAGTGACGCAACACTTATACCACAGGTATGGAAAGCTTTACTACAGATAAAGGCAAAGAATAAGAGGTGATAGGGCTATAAAAATGAGAAGTCGAAAGTAGTGTGATTAGAATTATATGATTATGAGCAATGATAATTTATGCTCGAAGCATTATCAAGTAAATAATACTGTAACACTGTGGGATGTATCAAATAAACAAATCTAATATCGAACTACTCTACTTTTATCTTTATACCTACTTTAAACGAATGGATAAGTAAAGTTTGAGAAACGTCTACAGGAACTTTTATTACTACAGGTTTCTTGGCAGAAAATCAGCTGAAGTAAACAGTGACCTGTAATTCTACTATGAAATGATGTCACTGACTGACACCAGTGATATGAACTTTTTCCAGCTCCTTCTCTGACTTCTAAGTGAAGGATAACGAAATAACAAGATGAATGCAGCCTTAATACGCTGACATTAAAATAGCATACTTAGTTCACCGGTTTCTAATCAGGGTTTCAGCTTTTCTCAATAACAGAGAAATTTCTAAATGAAAATAATGTTGGATAAAAGAGTAGTAATATCCCTAACTGTAATGTTGGACAGTGGGGAACCTATTTTCTAGACGAATATTCTAATGGTCGTGAGGACAGTTACTCAACGATGACATTGGGTGGCGGTCGCGCTATATCACGAGCTAACAGAAGTTGGAAATATGAACGATTTGATTCGGGTTCAATGACTCAATGGTAACATGCTGGCCACGGAACCTGAAGGTCGCGGGTTCGATACCTGGCGGGGTCGTGGGTGCGCACAGTTGGGCAGTCCCATACTAGGACGATACAGCTGTCCAGTGTTCCCAAGTTTCCTTTGTTCCTCCAGCTGATGTCAGTCTACGATGAATAACAACTTGGAATATCCTTTTAATCAAAATGTAAGATACGCTTCATGAATGAATATGAATCTTCAATATATATGTAGCACAGTATTCATTGTTTTAAATTGTCTAACACTAAACACTGTAACAAGTTGTGCATTCTTCATGTAACGGAAAGAATTATTGACTTTTCTTCTTCTTCTTCTTCTTCGACTTACTTCAAGGTGGAAGACAGATTGGTTCATCTCATTGGATCGGCTTAGAGAAAGATAAATCAACAATATTTGGAATTATTATCGGTAATTCTGTCCAACCTTCAAGTCATAAATTTCAGTAAGTTTATAATGGTTTATCTAACTTTTTATCTTGACTAGTCAGTTAAGAAACTTTTACCTTTTCTCTTGTTTTTCTACACTTTCAACAATTTTTTGAAAATAAACGATGATCCAGAAAACATCATTTCTTTCATTATATTGGCTTTATTTATACAATCGACATCTAGACTGTGTACATATGTGATAAGGTGAAATAGAGATGTTTGCTTCTATCCGACAATATAATATCTATAATCTACTTGGTGATGGTTGACAGTGACATCCAGGAAGCGTGTTCTGTCCTTTTTTAAACTCGTCAGTTGGACATACCTGGACATCAGTGAGTAATGGTGTCCCCAGCGTTCAATGGCTTCAAATGTCAAAACGTTATCCACTAGACCACTGGAGCACGATAAACACCTCTTGTCCAACAGGTATCAGTTATCATTAACTGCCATATGTAATTTGTCGCAGTCATCCCGGATCGAATCGATCGACCTCTGCTGGCATATGGGTTCCTATGCGAATGCCTAGATATTGTCTGAATATTCATTGTTATGATTTACTTGGTTATGACAACCAGTGGAATTTAGAACTCACGTTTTAGGGAATTACATTTATCAACAAACAATAACAACTGATACTCGTTGCTCAAAAGGCGGCTCCTACATCTCAGAGCCCAAGTGGATAGCTCTCTGGAGTTCGAAGTCATGGGTACGAGGTCCCAGTCTGAGCGGGAACAGCGCCACTCACTGGAGTCCAAGTTCATTCAACTGGTGAGCCCTAAACAAGACGAAATGTGCGTCCTGGACTCCACTGTTAGCCAACAGCTACACTACAACATAGTGAATGCTCAGATAGTATTGAGGTATCCTCACTGGTGCCCATCTATCAACAGAGGTAGAATTAATTCGATCTAGTATGACAACGGGGAATTACAAGTATCAACAAATAATAATCTCAAATTTCATTTGGTCGATGAAAGCTGACTGCTTCCAATAACCTTACATTATTCAAACTTCACCGTGAAGGTAAATTTCCTAGCTTGTTGACTAAATCCTAAAATATTCGGGGGAATTCGGTCAACAATTAAGAGGAGATAAAATAAAATCAGTTAGCAGGTTTGTGAAGACTGACTTATTTCAAGGTAATATTCATCATGGACTAGATGTGAACTGCTTATGAGTTCTATGTTAGGACGAAATAACTATCCACCGATCACTTTTTTCCAGTGGTTTTTCAACTTATGTCAGAACGTGATCAGTACGATCTCAAAATGAAATTAGTATCTCCTCAAGGCTAAGTGAATATACAAGTTGATAAGTTAGTGACATACAAACCGATCTAATACGAAATTGTGACCAGTCGGGCAAACTGAGTAGAAACCGATGACAAATGCTCGACGGTGGCATTGAATGAAGGTGGCGCAATATTGTAAATCGACGGAAGTAGGAAAATGTGGAATATTGGATGTCGACCCATTAGCCATGAAACCTGAAGGTCCCGTATGGGTTCGATTCTTGACACAGTCATATATGCCCACTGTCGAGGAGTTTCACATACCCAGTACTTCCAGGTTTTCAATAGACCTCCAAATAATTCCAGTCCGTTATGAATAAGAATTGGGGACCAATAAATCTACACAAACCTCCAAGTTGAATTCAGTAAATATCCTTGATTTTTTACAATTACTCATAAGTGAAAATTTTTAATTAATAATATTGTAAACGCAATTTTTCAATTTTATTCTCCTGATTTAGCATAACTGATAATCCAGAAAAGAATTTAGGTGTTCAGTTTTCCATATATGTGGCAGGATCCAATCCTCAATTACCATCAACATTTAACCATCGGGTAGTAATGCATTTCAGTGCAGATCAAAATCGTCCATGGACTGGAGGACATAGTCTAGTAGATCGATGGATACTTATATCTGCTTTGGATGATTTCCTTAGACCTCATTGTATTGGTAGTATGATATGTCGAAATGATATGGATATTATACTTTTTACACTTAATTATCAAGGTGAGTAAAAACTATGCTAACAGTATTCATTCTTGAAATGTTATCAAATTAGCTTTTCACCAGTAGATCAGTACTTCTAAGATGTTGAATTTCGATTAAAAGTCTAGTTAAGTGCTCTCAAGTTTATGAAACAACTATCGGCTTATTAATGGCAGCCAACTCTCTATCTCAACTTGATCAACTTTGGAAAGACCTTCGACAGCGTCGACCGAGAAGTAATTTGGCGACCACTTCAACACTACGGTTTTAGTGCCACAAACATTCAACAACTATATGAAGATGCCACATGCCAAGTAATTCATAATGGGAAGCTCAGTGATGCCTTCGAAGTGAAGACAGAAGTAAGATAAGGCTGTCTACTATCACACAGGATACTCCGGAATGTGGTGGGCTGGATCGTGCAACAAACAGTGAGGAGTGAAAAGACGGGAATACGCTGTTTGACCAATGAAAAGAGCCCAGAAGATTTGGATTTCCCAGATAGTTTATGTCTAATGTCTTATGACACAAGCTTGAAGATCTACAGGTGAAAACTAACAAGTTAACAGAGGAGGCGAGGGAGCAAAGACGGGACTTCAAGTGAATGTAGAAAAGAGAGAGGTGATGAAGATACCCAACCAACAACAGCATCAACGATAAGCACCACTCACCATCAACGGGAGGAATGCAAAGGAAGTAGTCTCTTTCACCTACCCACCTGCCTAGGCAGCATCGTTTCAACTATAGGTGGCAATGGCGGCACAGACGAGGATGTCAAAACCAGGATTGGAAAAGCAAGACAGGGGTACACTAGCCTGAAACCAGTGTGGAGATCTATTGCACTCAGCATAAAGCATGAACAAAATCCGGATTTTAAACACTGATGTCAGGTCACTCTTTCTGTACGGCTCAGAAACTTAACGTGTCACAAAAAGCATTTCCAACAAACTACAGATATTCATCATCAACAACTGCCTACTCTCGATACTGAAGATGAGATGACCAGAAAGAATAAGCAACAAGGAACTCTGGTAACAAACCAATCAAGAACCTATCATCCAACAATTATTCAGAAGGAGAAAGTGGAGATGGATTGGACCGGATTGGAGATACACTGAGTAAACCGATTGGGAACATCATGCGCCAGGCCAGACCAATGCGTCGAGTGGAATCCAAGTGAGATATGATGAGCTGGGCGTCTGAGCGAGGGTGACATGGAGGAGATTATGTGAGGAAGAAACAAAAGCTTGTTGGCAGTGGTGAGGTCTGGTTGCGAATACTGCAGAGAAAAGAGTGCAATGGAGGCGTTCTAGTGAAGCCCTATGTTCCACTAGGAACCCAAGGGAAAAAATAATCAATAAATAAGAATAATCGGCTTATTAACGTTTTTATACCGATAAGGGGGATGAAACACTATTCAAAGAATAACGTCATAACTTGTTCCTAACGTTGGAAGTCTTTTACATAAGTTATACATTCAATAAATATCTAAATGCATGGCTTTTCCACTGTTCTATTTAATTTGTTTGAGTATGGCTTCCAATGAGAGAATCCTAACCTTATTACATCAGTAACGATGGACAGCGGCTAGCAATGGGATCCAGGATACATTAAGTCCAAGACTCGATTGGTTCTGGGTTCGAGTCCTGGTGGGTACATTTAGTTGACGAGCCCAGACGAAAAACGCACCCTGGATTACACTGCTAGCCATCACTGAAACTATAGGCAATACTGAGGCACCTTCACGGGAGCCTGTGTGCCAATAAAGACTGATCAGTACGACCCAATCAACGACAGAATAGAATAGAGGAATCAACAAATCATAAAAGTAGGGTCGAGTTACACCAGAAAGTTTCAACTTCTTTATGTAATACGTTAAAGAAAAGATCTCCTCAAAAGTCAACAAGATATGAGATGAAGAACAAAGATCAGAAGAGAAATTCAATCCAAGTCAGGTGACATTCTATTGGCTTCTTACAGCAATATCATCAAAACTACAGGCGTTATGAAAGCAAAGTAGCTCAAACAAGCAGTATTTACACCTGAGGCTGAAATTAACAATCTAACACTGAAAAGGGTTCAGACTACGATCACTGGAAGATCACTAGCCAATAAGGAATCATTCATTTGAGAGTTGTCTCACTGTCACAGAAACAGTCAGGTCATCAGCATACTTAGTAAAATTAGTTTTAGTCGAACAAGTTAAGTCATGCAAGAAGAAAGATAATAGAAAAGGTAAAAAGTACTACATCTTGAAGTACACTGGCTCCACTAAACAAAAAGGCACAGCGCTTCCTTTTGTGAACAATATACTCTTTGCTTTCAAACAAATAAGAATGTAGTCAGTTTGTAACCCAGCGCTGGGTATGAGCACTGGCAAGCTTATTGACTAAGAGCGGTAGAGGAACAGAGTCAAAGGCATTAAAATCTTATCTACATATATTGAGCCAAACGTCTTAGATGACATTTTTTGTCTGAAAAGTCAGAACTAGGACTTGCAGTTTCCTTAATCGTCTCTTGAATCATAAGTTCTAGATAATGTAACATTTAATTTATAAAATATTTCAAGTTGTTATTCATCGAAGACTGACATCAGTTGGAGGAACAAAGGAAACCTGGGAGCACTGGACAGCTGTCTCGTCCTAGTATGGGACTCCTCAGCAGTGCGCACCCACGACCCCACCAGCAGGGGTCGAACCCATGACCTTCAGGTTCCGTGGCCAGCGCGTTACCATTGAGCCACTGGGTCAGAATCCAATGCTCCATATTTCCAACTTCTGTTAGCTCACGATATAGCGCAGACCGCCACCCAATGTCATCGTTGAGTATCTGTCCTCACGGCCATCAGGCTTTGACTCCACCGGTCACAACAACTTGAAATATTTTCAAATCTCCACAACCCCCTCAAAAATATAAAATATTTGTAAAATGATTTATATTCAATTGTTAATTAAACCATTTACTTTGAGTAAAATAAAACGAAATTGGATCACAATGTTCCTCACTTTAAGAGTATCATATTATATTCACACTTGCTGGCTGAGTATACAAAAATCATGAGTATTTGTAGGCCAGACATTGACCAGCTGAACAATCAGATTAGACTCAGGTGAGAAAGCAAGCTATATATATCCATACAAAATCAATTACCACACTTTCACTAATTGATTAAGATGTCTAGTGTGACAGTGAAACGTTGACCAATCGAAACGCCTGTCTAGAGAAAAACTCAATTTGAATTTCGTTATTCATAAAAGAAAAACATGAAGTGATGTGAATTTTCTTCCTTCTTTCAGTCGTCGCAAGAATTCTTGTCTGGGTAACCAGTGTCATTATTTCCGGCATTAAAGTGAAAATTAGGTGAAATAACTGCAGAACTGATTAGCAACCTGATGTTGCAGCTGGAGACCAGGTTTCAGAAAATGCCTCAAGTAAATCAAACTCGACTTCGAACCATAACTATGCAGTTGTATATTATCATTGATTACCTTTCTTTGCAAGTTCTTGATTTGACTGATCAGCGATGATACGGTACCTTACCAAATGAAACAAATGTTTTTCTCACATCTGAACCTGGCAGGAAAACAGAAGTTTTTGGGCTAGGTATTCATAAGCTCACGTTGTCTTTGACTGATATTAACCCTCACTTTAGGGAATCAGAGCTATAACACCACTAGATGAGAACACTGTTTAGTATAAAGAAATACTTTGTTGTAGTCTAATTGGTGGCTAGAAGAGAAATCTAGGACCCGTGTTCCGTCCTGTTTGGAACTTGTCAGCTGGATGTATGTGATGTTGTTCCCACTGAGACTCGAAACTATTACCTACCGCTTTAAGCGCCAGTGTGTTACCCCCTAGACCGCTTGGGAACGAAGCCCACCTTTTGTGTAAAGCTTATGAGTTGTTGTTTGATACATGTAATTTCCTGTTGCTATACAGGATCAAATTACTCGACCTCTGAAGAAAGATGAGCTCCTACGCAGATGCATCGATACTGGTTGGATGATCATGATGTTGTATTTACCTTAGTGGATAGCAATGGGATCCGGGACGCTCATTTCGTTCTACTTGGAACTAGCCAGGCAGTATGGAGGTATCCGCTTAGAAGCTCATCTGACAACACAGATAGAGCAATTCAACCCATTATAACCACGGAAAATTGCAAAAATCAATGAAAAAAATTTTTTTTGATTTAAAAATGAATTATTTTTACCATATAAAGTTATACTTTGATTTACTTTGTATTTTATTAATTAAATCAGCTTCTGGATTCTCTGTTATATGGGCTCAAAAGTCAGTGCTTATCCTATCCAGTAATGTAAATACAAATAAAACTTCAGAAATTGTAGATTCATATACTGAACAAGAATATTGGAATCAATGGTCTAGAAATATTCATCACAATGTAAAGCGTAGCATCGATTCCATTCAAACTAACTTCCAGTTCAACAGAAATCTTGACTGTAATACACATTTAAAACAGTGTCAAACTTCACTTTTGTCTTCTTCATCTACTAATCCCTTTTCTAAGACTAATACTAATGAACAAAACAGAAATATGTATAGAGTTAAACGTACTTTATTCACAACAACAGATTGTCCTGAAAGAGAAATAAGCAAATTAGAAAATCGTTTATTGGGAGAAGTAAGAAAAGATGTACAACATCCTTCTATAGAATTTGTTAAACATTTAAGAGAATCTGGTGTAGGTCAATTGGATGAAATACAAATTGAACGTCTTGGTCCATGTATTCATACACAACGTAAGTATAAAACGGTTTTTATTATTCTTAAATATATTATAACATATATAAATATGGCAATTTTCTTGGTTGTGGCTTGTAGAGGAATCCAAGACACACGTTTCCTCCTATTTAGGACTTGTCAGCTGGATGTACTTGCACCCCAGTGAGTGATGTCATGCCCACTGAAATTCGAACCTCGTATCCATCACTTCAAACACCAAGGCGTTATCCACTATGCCACAGAGACACAATAACCACTTCTTGTATAACGGATATTGGATCGAATTGTTCGACCTGTATTGACATATGGGCTCCTATGCGGATGCCTTGGTATTGCCTGAATGTTAGTTATGGTAATTTGGTTGGTTGTGGCTAGCAGAGAAATCCAGGATGCGTGTTCCATCCTATTTGGGACTAGTCTGGATTTCGCTGTTTACCACAAAGATGCAAATTACCATAAATAACATTCAGGCAATATTGAGGCATCCGCATAGGAGCCCATATGTCAATCCAGGTCAAACAGTTTTACCCAATAAAACAATGGTGAATTACAATTATATTAATAAATAGTAATAATATATCAATATCTATAACTATTTTATGTGTAGTAAAGCCTAGAAACCATTGCGTATATCAGTAACTTCAACTTTACGTATGCACGATGGTAAAATCTGCTTTACTCAGATGTTAGGCTGCAAGAATGTATTGAAACGCCTGTTTCACACTAATCTTACTTAACTTGCTCCTTATCATTATGCCCGGTTGCATCATCAAGAGATATATGCCGTCGTCGTGATATGATTATAGTTTTTAGCTATTAGCCGAAATTTTCTTAAGTTTCAGCTAAAATCGCTTTCACAGGAATCTATCTTCAGTAGTTCATTAATGTCCTGCTAGTTGTTTGAAAAAGAGAGATCCAGACCGTTCAGTAGAGGCATTACAACTCTTGTAGAACGATAAATGCATCATAACCTTGTCACAATACTAAATACTTCTGTTGACTTTGCTAGTAATAATCAGCGAACGATGCTAATGCAATGAAACACTTGACTGGATATGAACAGCAAATATTCTCCCTCAGTACCTTAAACTTCAGTGAACCGCGGAAATAACCAGGCAGAGACTAGCCTGGAACTGTAAGGAAGACAAAAATACATCATTTATATGCAGTTTTCGTGAACACATGTAACCATTAGGTCAAAGATTAAATAGCTTATTCTGATTGGTCAGTTATTGCATGAATTATCCAATAAGGCTTTTCCTAACGAAACAGTGATACGAAGCAGGAAACTGACATTCAAAAATGTTGATCTCCATTTAACTCGCTTCACATCAATTGAATACATCAAATGTTAGAGGTTCATCTTCACCACTGAATCTTTCAGCTTTTTTTCAATGTTTGAATATCACTAATCATCATTAATGCATATTTATAAGTCTAAGTGAACTCTTGTTTACTTCGTTGTTCAATAATTCGGAGGCGTTAAAGTTGAGTAGTTAAGACTACAACTGAAGTAATTAGTAGGGTTTTGAATGAGGAATCTGATAATTGTTTGAAATGATTTTTTGAGAGAACACATGGACTGGTCAATATATTCCCTCTCATAGCTTTACACCAATTCAATATAAAAGAAACTTGGTCAAATGCCTTAGTTACGGAAAAAGAAACATTTTTTCAACTGACTGTAGTGAAGAAGAAATGAATAAGCTAAAGATAACATTGCAGCAAATGTTTATCTGCTAAACTTCATAAATAAACATATGTCGAAACCTAGAGAGAAGATAAAGAAAGACAATGTTGATAATAAGCCTATATATCTTAGACTAAGTTTCAAAGGTGCTATTGCCTCGAATATCTTAACACATCGACTAAGTAGACCAATCGCAAAGACATTCAATGCAGCAAAACTTTTTGTCAGCTTCTCAACCGAACCGTTGGTGATACAGCAAACCAAGGATATGTTACCTATAATGGCCACTTTAATGAGTATTTATGAGTTCATCTGCTACTGTGGTACCAGTTACATAAGCCTACCCAAAATGCTCTATCCATGAGCACTCACAAACATGTACTATCTTGGTTAGAGAAAGGAATGTCAAAGAGTATCAACAGTGCAATCCTCTCACATCTAGTGGATACCGAACATCAGATTATGGTAGATCATGCCTTTTCTATGATATACCGTGTCGTTTATAATCTCCCTAAAGGTGCACGACTTCGCATCTTATCCGTATCTGTAGCCATAGGAATCAATTCAAGAAATATGTAGATCCACTTTGTTTACCTTGGTCCACAACAGAATCGACACGTTCTTTATGAACTTTTCTACCACAAATTACACATTTTAGCCTCTCATCCCCTTCTATATTGTCGTTACTTTGATGGACAGTCAGTTCTCATGCCCTTCTTTATTCATACCACGACCGGTAGTCATTTTCAACCGTGACATAACACTTCACATTTGTTATTCTCTATTTCGTTATCGTACTCATATGGTTTTCGTTCCACTTGAATATAATTCATCACCACATAATTATTATTTGGCCCTTAGTAAAGAAACACACACATATTCATGCCCCAGTAAATATATATATAAACGAATCATTATCTGTAGATTTCGTCTCCTCAGTTCGTTATTGTTCTGTCGATAGTGATTTCACTGCACAACCAGATCACTGGACTGATAACCATTTCACCATACCAATCAATTCGTTCTCCATTCACTCATAACACTGACTGACTTTTTCAATCTAGCAATAGTTGTACATCATGCCTTATTTTGAGACTGGTTACTCTCCAGTGATCAATCAATGTAAGTAATCCAGTCTTTCAGATGGTCAGTCACGGCTTGAATGGCTCAGTGGTAACGTGGCTGATTGCAACACATAGTGACACGGGTTCAAGTCCCATATGGGAGGTCAGTTTCCATAAGGTCACAGATGCAATCCGTTGACCAGTCCCAACAAGAATAGAACCTAGGTTGGAGCAGGGCTTCCTGGCAACTGTACCAAACCAACTAACACCCATCAAAATACACCTCCATGGTGAGCTTCCTAGCTTTGTGGTGACACTGCAAAATAATCGACAGAATTCGGTCAACACTCAGGACTAGATCGGTAGCTCTCCAGTGACCGATCAACGCATAGAGCTTCAAACTCTCATTCTCTTTTTAAGACTTCATAGAAATGACTAGAACTTTTTTTATTCGTCTTACTTACGCATCCTTTTCAACAACGAAGCATCACTGTTTGAGAGTTATTGAAACTCAGTTCCTAATTCATGACTTTGTCTCATATGGAGCAGAGTAAATAGCTTTCCTACAGTGTAGTCAAAGCAGTTTCATTGGGTAATTAAAAAGGGAAGGAGTGGTGTGTTTTCTAGATACGGTTTATTCTATTATAATTTAACCACTTTCCTATTTCCTCCTGGTGTATTTCCATCCCCCCTGGGTCCGGTAACATACATCATACTTGCTCAATATTACTCTCTAAGAAAATCCACTGATCACATACATAATCTGAGGTGTTCTCATCACTAGGATGGATTCGGGGAAGCTTGAAACTCACGTATGCAGAAAAGCAACTTATACAGGTAAAATCCTCAACTACTGTAGCAATAATCCAACAGCACGCAAAATTATTTGGATAGAAACATTGTTCAAAGGAGAGAAGACACACTATAGTACATAAACCCTGAAGAGAAAAGAAGAAAACTGTTTGATAACTTTTCCAGATGAATGGCTATCCAAGCAACTTCATCAAAAGATGTTTGTGTAATTCATCATGAACCAAGAAGTCACCCTGCGAAATCAAAATGAATAACGTCTCTGAGATGGCAACTAAATTACTGAAGTCTTTTAGAATCACTGTAGCTCACAAGTCTATGAAACCTCTTCATTCTTTGTTGTACAGGCCAAAAGGTACAATAGCAAAGGAAGACAAACCAAATGTTATCTGCAAAATAAATTGCGGAAACTGCAAAAAACACTTCATTGGACAGAGTGGTCGCCCTCTTCATGTCCGTCTACATGAATATCAACTAGCAATGAAGCATCATGATATATCCTCGCTCATATCAACCAATGCATACGGACAGTTATGGACGTCAATTCCACTAAGAAAATGTCAAAATCCTGGAAGAACGTCACAGGGTTTTTAGAAGCATGGCGCTCAGGTTAGTTTTCGGTTGACAGACATATTGGCATTGATTCAATCTATCAACCAATAAGAAACACAAGAAATAACAAGAAGGTCAAAGTTCACATCACCAGAAATAGCCAATCACATCCATGGTCCTCAGAACAAGTTATTAAGTCACTTGTGAAAAAAATCGTTCAGCTCACCTCCTAATGAAGTTTTTGCTGATGATGTTGTCTGGAATGACAATAAAAGCTTCACAACTAAACCATCCAACTCAGAGAACATAACATATCAATATTATTCTTGTAACTTGTAATCGCAATACTTTATATCTCTAATATTTATCAAAACCTTGGTTATAAGTCAAAATGATTACTTTATTATTTATGTGCTTACATGGTGTTTGTTTTTATTTAACTGCACAGAAGCTTTACCTATCTTCATTCCCGTACCTGGATTGGAGAATAATCGTGATAATTTTCTTTCAAGTTATGGAAAGACAAAAGAATATGGCGAATCTTTTCAATCCATTTCACCTTCACCATCATCATCACTTTCTTCTTCTTCATCCATTCATCAAGATACAGATAGATCAAGAATAATTCTACTTGGAACTCTACTACCAATCTGTATTTCACTTATTTTACTCTTGTTAGGCGTATTAGGTTTTGTATGGTATCGAAAGCGGAGTAAATCATGTACAAATGGAATACACTCTCATCCATCATCGATTATCAACAGTGGTCATAATGTTGTCAATCCAGAGACTGAAAAAATGTTAACAACAGTAAGTAGTCCAAAAAAATCAACAGGTAATGGACGTCAGATAAAAAATCCCAAAACTGGTAAGTGCATTATCTGAATTTAACTCTTTGCTAAAACTATTTCTTTTTGTAACCACTTTTTTGAAATATGTAAATCAGCGTTAAGATGGATGTCATTTTCGCTGCGAGACCAACTTTAAAGCATGAATTATTATTCTGAGAATAGATGGATCAAGTTTATCCTGACAATGTATGTCAATCATTCAAGTTTTAGTGAATCTAGGATTCAGATTAATTACACTCTCTGACGTACTGTCGCCCCTGGCTATTATTCATATCATTGGTTCTGGGACTTAAAACAATGAAGTTATGACTGACTGATCGCATTCTTCAGCCTAAACATTTCTTGTTATACATTCTTTCCAATACTAGGCCTCACTTACAGCTTATACTAGTCACTGAAATACACTAATATGTGCCTGATGGACACATCTTCCAGACGTGTTGAACAAAAATCTGATTATGTTCGGTATGCGCTTCGTTGGCATCTGTCAAATGTAAAATGATCCTGCAGCACTGGTCCCCTGCAAAGAAATTCCAGTTTAGTGATAGAGAGTGAAGTCGTGAGATGTGTCGACCACTTCACCTACTTAGGAAGTTTATTATTATTATTAGTCCCATGTGTTCCTAGTGGAACATAGGGATTCAGTAGCACGTCTCCAGTGACCTCTGTTCGCCGAAATCTTTTGAACCTGGCTCCACGACAGCCCACAACCTCTTATTTCCTCCTCGCACAACCTCCTCCATGTCACCCTCGGACGTCCAACTCGTCGCTTCCCATTTCGGTTCCACTCGAGCAACTGGCCTGACGCCTGATGTCCCCAGTCGGCCTTCTCAGTATATGTCCAATCCATCTCCACTTCGTTCCAATGCATATTTGTTGAGTGATGGGTTCTTGGTTGGTTCGTTACCAGCCAGAGTTCCTTGTTGCTTATTCTTTCTGGCAATCCATTTGATCTTCACTAGCGAGCGTAGGAAGTTGTTGATGAATGTCTGTAGTTTATTGGAAATGCCTTTCGTGACGCGCCAAGTCTCTGAACCATATGGAAGCACTGACTTGACGTTGGTGTTGAAAATCCGGATCTTGTTCCGCATGCTGAGTGCAGTCGATCTCCACACTGGTTTCAGGCTAATGAACGCCTGTCTTGCTTTTCCGATCCTGGCTGGCTTTGACATCCTCGTCTGTGCCACTGCTGCCGCCTGTAGTTGAAACAGTGCTGCCTAGATAGGTGTAGGTGAAGGAGGTTACTTCCTTTAAGTTCCTCTCGTTCATGGTGACTGGAGTTTGTTGTTGTTGTTGGTGCGGTATCTTCATCACTTCTGTCTTCTCTATATTCACCTGAAGTCCCGTCTTCGCTGCCCTGCCTCTTCTGCTAACTTCTTAGTTTTCGCCTGTAGGTCTTCAAGTTTGTGTGACATCAGGCACAAGTCATCGTTGGCGAAATCCAGATCTTCTAGGTTCTTTTCCGCAGTCCAGCCAGCGTATCCGCCTCTTCTCGCTGCCCACTGTTTGCTGCATGATCCAGTCGACCACAATCAAGAATATCATGGGTGATAGTAGGCAAACTTGTTTCACTCCTGCCTCCACTTCACTTCAAAAGCATCACTGAGCTTCCCATTGTGAATTACTTGGCATGTGGCATGCGTCTTCATATACTTGTTGAATGAGGCTGATAAAGGTTTGCGGTACTCCGTAGTAATGAAGCAGTTTGCAAATTACCTCTCGGTCGACGCTGTCAAAGACCGGCCTTCTCAAAGTCGATGAAGTTGAGGTAGAGTTGTGTTGACTGCCATTCTATACTCTGTTCTATGATGATGTGTAGTGTAGCGTAGCAATTTGGTCCGCACATGATTTGTACTCCCTGAAGCCTGCCTGTTCCGGTGGTAGTTTTGAATCCAGTGCATCCTTTGGCCTCTCCAGGATGATGCGGCTTAATATTTTGCTTGGTTTCGTTCGACAGGAGAGTGATTCCGTGCCAGTTCTTGCAAACACTCAGGTCTCCCTTCTTCAGCAGTTTGACAACGTAACCCTTCTTCCAATCAGTGGGTAGGTACCTTCCCTTCCTTCCTTCCACACCTTCTGCAATAGTGGTGTGAACATGTCCGCTGTTGTCTCTGCATCTGTATGGAGTGCTTCTGGTGGGATCCCATCTGGTCCTCATGCTTTCCCACATTTCGGTAGCTTTATGGCTTTCAGGACTTCGACTTTTGTTGGAAGATTTATGTTTACTTATAGTTCTGTGGTTGGGCTGCAGGTGGTATTTCTTGACAAAGTGCAGGTGGTGGTAGTGGTGGTCGATTCAAGAGCTTCTTGAAGTGGTCGGCCCATCGTTTCCTTTGTTTCTCTTCTTTTGTAATTAGATTTCCTTCATCATCTTTCAGTGGTTTCATCTGTGTTGGTCTCTTCCCTGATAGCAACCTGGTTATTTGATACAATGTCGTCAGGTCTCTCTCTCTCCTACCTGCAGCCTGTTCTGCTTCACTTGCCAGTGTGTCGTGGAAGTGTCTTTTGTCTTTGCGTGCACTCTTCTTCACTTCTTTGTCCAGTGTAGTGTTTTATACATTGTGCTCAGTTCTTCTTGTCGTTGAGCATTCTTGCACTGGTCTATCTTCTGCTTCACCATCCTCCTCTCCCCACTGCATCAGCTTCCAGGTATCCGCCGAGATCCATTCCTTGTCTTCCACCTTCTTCCTTCCTAGTACGGCTGTGCAGGTTTCGTTCCACATAGCTTTCAAAGACTTCCAGTGTTCTTCTACACAGGTTTCTTCACGGATGTTCCTCGATATCTCCCATTTTGTCTTGATGGATGGCTGACGTGAAGATCTCCTTTGTAGTTTTATCCTTCAGTTTCCGAGTGTTGTACTTGAATTGAGGTCTATCACCAGCTTCCTTGAAGCCTTTAACTTGATTTGGAAGGTTCCTTTCACTAGATAGTGAGTGGTCTGAACCTACATCTGCTCCTCTTCTTGACCTTGTGTTAAGTAGACTGCGTCTCCATTTTCTTGAGATTGAGATAAAGTCGATTTGATTTTTAGTGTGTCCATCTGGTGAAATCCATGTCGCTTTGTAGATATCCTTGTGCCTGAACACACTGCCTCCAATCACCAAATCGTTGAATGCACAGAATTCTGCAAACAATTCTCCATTCTCGTTCATCACCTCACCGAGCGCTTCTCGACCCATGGTTAGTTCTCTTCCCGTGTTGTCCCCTCCCAGTTTGGCATTCATGTCACTCCACCCATTAGAATTTTGATATCTCCAACTGACGTCTTGTCCAGTGTTGATTGAAGTTGTCTGTAGAATTCCTCCTCCTTCTCTTGCTCTGCATTATTTGTAGGTGCATAACATTGTATGATTGTGACCTTTCTTCCTTTTGAGTTGAATCTTGCTGTCATGATCCTGATAGTGGAGGAGATTGGTTCCCACTGCATGAGAGCCTTCGATGCTCTTGAGGACATCATGATAGCCACTCCATAACTCAGTGTGCTCGTGGTTGGCGTCTGGGTGACAATATCGGAGTAGATTATTGACACTGCTCTCCAGTTGACAGTTTCCAGAGTCCACTCCCATTCCATCTGCTTTCGCAAATTCCTATCACTTCAATGTGATACCTTCTCATCTCCTTTGCAATCTGGGCTGCCTTACTGGGTTCAAACATCGTGCGGACATTCCATGTCCCCACTTTTACTTTCGCTTTCATCGAGGGAAGACACATCGGCCTGGTCAATTGGCTTCCCGAAGGCTTTCACCAATTGGCGTCATTTCGCCTCTCCGATTCCAGTGGGGAATAAGTTTGTTTTCATTTTTTATATTTTGTTTGTGCTTTGAAGTTTCTTTAGCGGTTAGATTTGTTTTACGGGGTAGGGTTGCTAGCCCTATGCCCAACCTTCCCTCTTTATGGGGGCTTAGGACCGGCTAGTAACTAGTGAACTAGTTAACCAGGCGAGGTTACTTAAGAAGTTACATCACCTCAAATGGTTTTGTTGCTAACGCAATCTTAGCCCAGATACAGAACTCCCGTTCAGTATTCGCCGAACCCCATGACCTATGGCCCCGACTGTTGAGATATCCGACTGTTCATCAAAGGATGAGTATACCACGCTGCAGTCCTTTCCGTCCTGCTGTATAGCTGTGAGACATGGACGTCAAAAGTAGAAGACACGAAACAATCACAGGGTTTCGATTACAGATGTCTGCGTAGCATTGCTTGCGTTTGTTGGAATCACCGTGTGAGCAATGTTGAGATACTAGGTGAGACAAGATAAGTGGCTCTGCATGGGCAGAGCCACCGCTTACCTCGACGTGCCACAGTAGGAGGAGTCGGATTAGGATGGAAGAGAGTTCAAGGTGACTAGACCAAGACATGGCACCAGTTGATTAGGCCTCTCACTGTTGATCAGAGCTTTGTGAAGAGATGGAGACTGCCTGGTTGGGGTCCTCAAAACCAAAGGAATCAGTAGTTGAAGACTCTTGGTGAGATGGCTAATAGTCGGTCAAATAGGCACAGATTTATTCACTGCTTGACATCTAAAGCTTAAATATTCTCACTAATAACCTTTATCTCCGGATCGTATATTCTCTTACACAACTTTGCCTACTCCGATATCACTATTTTTGTATCTACCTAGTTTTTTACTGTTGTGTAGTGTGGCGATTTGATTGCATGCACTTATTTGCAGGGTTCTACGTTGAGTTTGTCAGTCGGTCAGTCAACCTGATGGACAAATACACTTAGTTTTAACATCGATGTATGAGGAACTCAGATACAATATTCGAAAATAGCCTAAGTCTTACAGATCTCTTTGTCATTTACTACATTGGTGGGATTTTATCTTAAAGTTCACTCTAACTAACTAACTAACTAACTAACTAACTAACTAACTAACTAACTAACTAACTAACTAACTAACTAACTAACTAACTAACTAACTAACTAACTAACTAACTAACTAACTAACTAACTAACTAACTAACTAACTAACTAACTAACTAACTAACTAACTAACTAACTAACTAACTAACTAACTAACTAACTAACTAACTAACTAACTAACTAACTAACTAACTAACTAACTAACTAACTAACTAACTAACTAACTAACTAACTAACTAACTAACTAACTAACTAACTAACTAACTAACTAACTAACTAACTAACTAACTAACTAACTAACTAACTAACTAACTAACTAACTAACTAACTAACTAACTAACTAACTAACTAACTAACTAACTAACTAACTAACTAACTAACTAACTAACTAACTAACTAACTAACTAACTAACTAACTAACTAACTAACTAACTAACTAACTAACTAACTAACTAACTAACTAACTAACTAACTAACTAACTAACTAACTAACTAACTAACTAACTAACTAACTAACTAACTAACTAACTAACTAACTAACTAACTAACTAACTAACTAACTAACTAACTAACTAACTAACTAACTAACTAACTAACTAACTAACTAACTAACTAACTAACTAACTAACTAACTAACTAACTAACTAACTAACTAACTAACTAACTAACTAACTAACTAACTAACTAACTAACTAACTAACTAACTAACTAACTAACTAACTAACTAACTAACTAACTAACTAACTAACTAACTAACTAACTAACTAACTAACTAACTAACTAACTAACTAACTAACTAACTAACTAACTAACTAACTAACTAACTAACTAACTAACTAACTAACTAACTAACTAACTAACTAACTAACTAACTAACTAACTAACTAACTAACTAACTAACTAACTAACTAACTAACTAACTAACTAACTAACTAACTAACTAACTAACTAACTAACTAACTAACTAACTAACTAACTAACTAACTAACTAACTAACTAACTAACTAACTAACTAACTAACTAACTAACTAACTAACTAACTAACTAACTAACTAACTAACTAACTAACTAACTAACTAACTAACTAACTAACTAACTAACTAACTAACTAACTAACTAACTAACTAACTAACTAACTAACTAACTAACTAACTAACTAACTAACTAACTAACTAACTAACTAACTAACTAACTAACTAACTAACTAACTAACTAACTAACTAACTAACTAACTAACTAACTAACTAACTAACCAACTAACTAACTAACTAACTAACTAACTAACTCAGTAACTAACCAACTAACTAACTAGCTAACACTGTAAACTAATGAGTTAGCGTTGTTTGCTGAAACAGTCATTTGGTAAATGCCATTTACATCGCGCTAAACACACTAATCCATTTTCTTGCCGTTAATTGATAATACTACATTCTACATGGATTCACTACATATCATTTTCTATATATTGTGAGTTATATTTTCTCTAAGTTATATTGCAGTAACATCGGTTGCCTTTTGACCATGAAATGCCAAATGAGTGATTCCTGCCACCTAGAACTCATTATATGGCCATACTTACTCACAAGTGCTGTTTATTTCAATGCAAACAATAGAGAATGGGTCATGAATGCATACTACTCAAGAATTCTAAACCAAAGGAAACTAATCCTATGTTATTCCTTTCCTTTCAGTGGTTCATTTATCAGTTAGTAGAAAGTAACCAGTATTCTACACTGTTCGATGTTTGTGTTATCATCGACTAGCTAAAATATTTTCTATTGTAGTGTGTAATAACATGTAGTTGGAGGTAATTAGGAAGAACATTTTGATATTTATTGTTATTCAACTGAGTTAATGCTATCTCAGAGATGTCTTGCTAACTAGTATAAGTAAACGTAGCATTGAAGGTCTTGACATTCAAATGATTCTCTTCAGTTACATGAAGTATAACCGAAGATCTTAATGTTAGTAAAACTTTAATCTAATTTAAAAGTTTAATTTACTATGAAACATTTCCCTATCTACTTCAGGTAATATGAATACTGAAAACTCTTCCAATCCATCAGAAAATAATTGTAAATCTCCTAAAAAGCCTATGATTTTAACCAATGAACGACCACCATTTAAACCACCCGACTATAATCCAGGCTTTACAGATTCAACGGACAAATTACCTATGACTAATCTATCTCCATCACAAATCACCAATCTACCATTACAGAATACAAATGAAATGATATCAAGTGGAATGATGGATATAAGAAATCAACCAAAAGTAAACTTTAGTCTTCGACCTAATCCATACAGAAATTTACCTCCTCCAATTGAAAACAAACCTGGAATGCCTCCACCTGGTTTACAAATACCCTATACACCATATCGTAAGATTATATCATTTCCAAATCAATCTATTGATCAAAAGAGATAGGCATCAGACAATAGAATAAACAAATCTCCTCCAGCCCTCCACCCCCCAAAAAAATTTTTTTTTAAAGTATGTCATATACAGAAAATGTTATCGCCTCATTTTTCTTCTATTGTTCCATTTCAATTGTTTCCTTCTTTACTCCCTTTTTCAGCCTCTCCCATTCTTTTATCTCAACAGAAAATTTTCATTATTCATTATTTTTCAGTATGATTTTGTTTCTGTTCAACTAAATCCAGTTAAAATCAGTGAGTACATTCATAATAATAATAATAATAATAAAAGGTGAAATTCTGTTGATAAATCCAGTTTATTCTATGTTCCAGTTGATAACTACTTTCCAAAATTCAAATATGCCTCCACTTATTATTTAAAGAAAAACATTTTTTTCATTTTGTTTTATTACCTTTGTTCAATTCAACTGGATTGCATTTTTATGACCTCTGTTAACATGAATATGTTGTGTAGGTAAATGATTGTATGCTTCGGTTTATATATTTCATAAATTTCTTTATTAATGAAAAACTTTCATTACTTAATCATTTTCTGACAGATGCTTATCTCTTTTCATAACAATCTTCTCCAAAGGATCCTCTAGCCTTAAGTAAAGATAAGATTATATATACTCTTCAGTCAACATTTCTTCTATAGATGTGAATAATGATACAAGAATGATAAGTCGATAACTTCGACTGTCCCGAGATGACGATGATGATGAAGACAGATTTTGAAGAAAGTTATAGTATGAAAGAATTTATTTCTCGTGAAACAATCTTGATTATCACCTCTATGTTCATTATAAGATACTTGAAGAATTAATTTTCAGTGTTTATTTTACAGGTGTTTTATAAATAAAAACACGGTAAAGGAAACTTTACCTGAAAATATTCCATAGTTTTTAAGATGAATGGTAGTTGAGCTATGTCATGAATTGACAGAAGTTGGAAATTTTGAATCATTGAAAACCGACTCAGTAACTGAATGGTTAACGTGTTCGCCATGAAACCTAAAAGTCCTGAGTTCGATCCCTAGCCGGATAGTGGGTGCGTATTGCTGAGGAGTCCCATACTAGGACGAAACAGTTGTTCAGTGCTCCAAGATTTTCAATGGTTCCCTAACTGATGTCAGTCCGTGATGAATACTACTTCTACATTCCAGTATTGTTTGTTTTCAAACTGACTTTCCTGAATGTCTATTTCTCTGTCTATCTCAACTGTTATTACATTTTAACTGTTGCTTTTGTATTATTGTAAACTATTTATTGATTTATTTTTGAATCGTTCCTTCCCTCCCCCTTCCCCCGCCCTAAATTTCTCTTTGTTCACTGTTAACCCATTAACAATTCAACAATTAAAACCTTAAGAGTCTATCAAGAGTTCAATGATAACATGTTTATCGAATTTATAACCAATGGATATTTAGTGTTTATGAAATTTCCACCACTGACATACTTTCGCCTTTTTGAGTAGTGTAAAACGCGGTACTTGTAGCATCACTGTTAATATTTATTGACAAGTGCAATTATTTAATTAACAGGAGGATATCAACTGTAAGTATGCTTCATTTTAATGAGGGTCGACAAATTAGACACCATTGTTTATTGATTACTGACAATTACTCCCATCACTAAACATATTCGTCGTCAAATCAACGAGTCATATGTATATTTTGATAGAGAATGACTAAACCATAGTTCCTTTGTACAACTTACCAGCACTTTCAGTGAGTACACCGTTTCTATGGAATAGTTATCATATTGACCTAAGTCGAATTCCCTTCATCACAACTCATTATTGAAGAGTTTCAGTTAAATTCTTATAGTAAATCTTCAAACTAAGATTCTATATGGAAACTACTTATTCACTTTCAAGGGAATATGACCAACACAGATACCATCAACGAGCAGTTAGTCATCCGATCAGCTCATAAACCACGTTATTCATCATCATCCACATAGCATAAACAAGCTAGAATATGAAGTTACAATGCTGAACAAAAATGTAATGTTAGAGAAATCCAACTCACAGTGGAGTTGATATGGATCTCAGCCATTTAGTTCGCTTTGTTGTGTTTAGTCAAAGCAAGAAAGACTAGATTTTAGCAGTGATGGATCGTCGCTAGCAGTGGAACCCTGGATTCGCATTTCGTCCTATTTAGGACTCGTCGGCTGAATGTGCCTGCTTCCCGGTGAGTAGTGTTGTTCCCATCATGATTTGGACTCCGGAGTGACTACTTCAAACGCCAGAGCGTTATCCACTACACCACCGAGCCACGATAGCTACTTCTTGTGCGACCGATCAGTTCAGTCCAATCAACGATGGTATGATATAATAACGATTATACTGAAGACTAGGTTTGCAGAATAAAGTGATATCAGTTTATTCCATGAATATTCATCAGGCGCACACACTGTACAGTTACAAAGGTTATTAAGATGCGGTTATGTAATCATATACTTAAGGTAAGGTAAAATTAGAGAAGTAGTAAAAAGTTGTTTTACATTAAAATCATTATCAATTTGACTGTCTGAGATAGCCAAAATGATTATCAACAGGATACTTTCCACCCCCCATCCCTCCCTCATCTAATTCAAGTAGATGCAAATTGGGATGAGAAGTCCTCAATGTAGGCACCCAGTGTGAGTACAATCAAGTGGTAGTAACCTGTCATGAATTCACATGGTAGTCGGGCAAAACCCTTGGTGATTGATGAAGTGAAATAAAAATTTGGTCAGTAGTCAGTCATCATAGCCTAGTTGTTAGAGTATTGGGCTAAAAAAAACTGAGAGTGGCTTACTCAAATCCTTCCGTGGTTCAGATTTTCATTTCACCTCCAATCATCATCCAATATCAAAATCATTGCTAATTTACTGAAGGTGCAATAGAAGGTTTAAGAGTTTTTATAGAGGGGATAAAAAGTATCGAGATAAGAAACAATTAATACTAGCTAACAGATTACGCAACACACAAAGAAATAACATCCGTAAGATTGAGATCAAATCATTGAGTTGTAAGTGGCATGAAAGAATATTAAATTACAATCACCATGGAACTAAAAGATTGGTCAAACTGTCTTTCTGTATATACAAGTCCAGATGAAAGCGTTTCATAGCAATCACTTCCATGAAGACAAGTGGTTTCATCATTTTCTGAACATTTAGTACAATAAAAATGTTTGTGTAGTATGTCCTATACTTAAGACATCTCTTCTAATTGTACTAATGAAAATCTTGTATCCCATCAGGCATCAATTCCTCGAAATGTTACTGAAAAACTGAATGGATGCTATTCTCCTTAGTCTTTGCAATTTACTTACTATCACGAGTGAATGTGAATTCATGAATGTAGCTGGAAGTGACCTAAACAGGATATTTATCCAATCTTAACTGGTTTAATGACTACACCATCTCACAAGCTGAAAGAAGTTTGGCCGCTCATTGAAAGGTGTGTCGAGTAAGTACATCACGTTATTGAAGGCTCTGTACTCGAACACTTGTAGGCATGTTAGAGCCTATGGTGGGATATCCGGGGAGCTGTGTTCATCCAGTGGTGTCCGTCAACAGTTCCCACTCTCTCCACTCTTATTTAATCTCATCATAGATATTCTTATGGAGGTCTCAATCTGGTCAACTGACTACACACTGGTTGACCTAATCACGTGACAATTTTAATCAGACCTAGAATACCCAGATTATATGATATAGTCATGCTAGGTGAAGACGCTGACAAGATGCACAGTCTTCTCGACACTTGCAGTGGCAATTCTAGAATGTTTGGGATGTGTTTCTCACCACCCAAATGCAAACTGATGCTCCAGGATTCGTCTTCTATGGTGTCATGGCTAACAGTAGGGAGTAAAGTGACTGAGTATGTTGACTACTTCACTTGCCCAGAAAGTGGGACCAGCCCTGACGACTCAGTGGCCGATGAAATCTCTGCACGAATACAAAAGGCTCGTCTGGCCATTGCCAATTTGTGCCACCTATGGCGCCTCCGTGATATCTGATCGTCTATTAAGGGTCGCGTGAACTGCACAGCAGTCCGTTTTTTCTACTCTGTAGCTGTAAAACATTGCCATTGAAGGTGGAAGACATGAGAAGGCTGGCTTCGGGTGTTTGACCGCCACTGCCATATTCCGTGACGTCACCACGTGAATAACTCAGAAGTCAGACGTAGAGTTTTAGGCAATAGAGGAAAGTCGGTTGAAGCTGTCGTGAACCCTCATCGACTGAAATAGCTGAGGCATTTGTTACATGTGCCTAACCACCGTCCGCCTCGTCACACAATGTTGGCCGAAGTAGATTCATGCTGGAAAAAGGCTCAGGCGGAGCCAGATTAAAACATGGCACCAATGTATGAAGTCGTTGACTGTTGGTTTGAGCCATGTGGGACGATGCAGACTAGCCAGTTGGGGTCTGTGGGACGAGAGAAACCAGTGGATGGAGACTGACTGTAGGTGATATGGCTGAGAAGCGCTGTCAGTGGTGCAGATGTATACGCATATTATCCTCATCGTAACGCTATACTGAATCTCACCATTTTCTCAGTCTTCCTTTCTCTCTTTTAGTACTCTATATTTCTTTTGACTGAATTTTCTTCTTCTTCCACTTCACTGCCCTTTTACTTGTACTGACATGAGGTGTGGCAACCAAAACCGTTACGCAGTAATGTCTGGTCCTATGTTGACTTGGATGTATGAATGGACTGGCCGCAGGAAAACTTCTCTTTACTGTATCTATTCTCCTAGATATTTTGTTTTCTTTGAATGCTACACAGATAAAAATCTTTTCAGCACCCGAATGCCTGATCATTTTGATCTATTCTTCTCTATACTCCATGATAAATCTCTTATAGTGTCCGTTTTCTCTCTCGCGCTGGTGCTTTTTAATTGCGTCCAGATCTTCCTCCAAGTTCATCGCAGAAAATAACTTTCCGGCTTTGCTGTAAAGCATTCTAACTAATCCAGGCTTATAGGTGGCAGGAAACAACGTAGTGTAGTTAAGGTATTGTCCATTCTGTGCCTCATTCCTATTGGTGATCTTCTCAGTCGTAGCATCTGTTTTCTTTCATAAAGTTGAACCCTGTGTTTCGCTCATATTCTGCATTGAACTTCGTCGTGGATCGAGTCTACTTGAAGTTGTTGAACACCTGTGACATATAACTTGCATAATTCCAAACGACAACTCGTTCATCAGTGTCAGTTGTTTACCTAGTGAGTGCGACCTGTCATATATGTTCCAGGTTAGGTTCCAGTAGTGAGCCTATGGCCAACTAATCAATCTTTCGATAAGGTGTGTTACTGAATTGGAACTGTTCACCTTTTCTTTATTCACTTTGTACCAAGTTATCAGTCCATCCATCTGTAAATAAAACTGTCTGCAACTAAAGAACTTTTATCTTTCTCCGGAGACTATCGATTCTGCACGATTCTAAATGGACTCAGTTGCTTCAAGTATATCCACAACGCAAGTAGCAACCAACTGTTTTATGAAACAGAAATATTCATACGCCATCTTAGAAATCATGCTATAAACGCTCAAACTTGATAAACCGATATTCAATTCAATGAAGAACAAAGACGTCAATCCAGTTCCTCATACTAACCACTGTCAGTCTGTTAACTAGAAAGAGGAACTTCCACAAAAAGCTAGTTTTTTTTTCTTCTTTCTCTTATCACCATTATTATCATTACAATATTGTAATTTGCCCCTTGGGTTACTAGCGAAACATACGGATTCACTAGCACATCACCATTTCACTCTATTCTCTCCAGTCTTCTTAACCTGGCTCCACGACTGCCCATAAGCTTTCATTTCTTCCTAATACCATCTGCTCCATGTCACACTCAGCTCAGACATCCAACTCGTCGTTTCCCATTTGGGTTCCACTCGATGCCCTGACCTGGTGCGTGATGTCCACAAACGGTCTTCTCACTGTATGCTCAATCCATCTCCACTCTCTTCTCTTGCAAATTTGTTGAGCGATAGGTTCTTGGTTGGTTGATTCGTTGACAGCCAGAGTTCCTCATTGCTTACTCATATTATTCTGGCCATCTGATCTTCAGTATCAGTATGGAGTGTGCGTATGTGGTGGCAGCTGTTCATGATGTATGTCTGCAGTTTGCTGGAAATGCTTTTCGCAACGCGCATCACATCACATAGAAGCACTGACTTACTTGACTGACATCAGTGTTGAGAATCCGGATATTGTTCACGCTTTATACTGATTGCAGTCTAATGCAGTGCAGTGCAGTGCAGTGCAGTGCAGTAGATCTCCACACTGACTTCAGATTAGTGAAGGCCTGTATTGCTGCCTTTCTGATCCTGGCTGCTTTGACACCCTCATCTGTGCCGCCACCGCCACCTGTGATTGAAACGATG